TAACAAAGTGTGGTTAACATACTTATTGCTCCAACAGTGAGATATCATTCAGGGTTTATTTGTATCTTCACCCAGATCCATAAACCGGTTTCACTTCAACACAGAGATACATGGCTGAAGTGCTGATGAATGAGATGATGGCACACTGATCCACTAACGCTGCAGCTCCACTGCCAGTGGGGATGAGCTGCCCTAACACTGTACGTACTGTAAGCCGTTCACACACAAACACCACCCTCTCCCTCCCTGACTCTATGTATTTCTACCTATCTACCTCTATCTCTATTTCCGCTTTCCCTCTCACTCCCTGTCTCTCTATGTATCTATCTCTACAGACGGTAGAGCTGAGGTTTGTATGTGTGTATGGAGATGGAGTATTATGGGTCCTTGGGCATCAACTGATTGGCCTCAATGTTATCACAAGAGATGCAAACGAGGGACAATTGATTTAATTTGCATTCAATAAGCTATACCACCATACCTGGTGCTGAGACAGAGGTAGACAGACGGAGAGGGAGATACAGGGGCAGCCAGAGAGCGAGAGAGAGCGCAAGGGTGCCAGACCAACAAAGAAAGCCAGACAGTGAAGGAAGGAAGGAGGCTACAGAGTAAGTCCGGGGCTACAATAAAAATGTGTACTGTCGTGGGTATTCGAGGACCGGAGTTGGGAACCATTGTAACTAGATTGATTGCTGCTCAAGGTTTCTGCGCTTTCCCATCTCTTGAGGGTTCCTGTTGTGTTTTCAGCCCCCCTTACAAAAGCATTTTATCAATGATGCAAGAAACATGTCAGCACAGGCCTCTCTGGGATGGAGTCATGCCTGGTTGAAAAATGGACATACAGCTAGCATCCCATCATCATCCTCAGAGAGAGAGCAGCCAAAGCTCCCACAGAGACAGCTAGCATCCCATCATCATCCTCAGAGAGAGAGCAGCCAAAGCTCCCACAGAGTGCTCTCTGAGGCTGATGATGGGATGCTAGCTGTATGCCCATTTTTCAACCAGGCATGACTCCATCCCAGAGAGGCCTGTGCTGACAGATTGGCTACATTTCTAGCAACCCTGTGAGGACTGTTGCTATGTTTAGCTTGGTGGGCTCCTGCTGTTCAGAACCTTTTCAGTCAATAAGCCACATTAATTTTATTAGCATTACAAAGACCTTTCTTGTAAGTGTTGAGTTGTATTCATGCCAATGGGGGTGGCTTTTTTCTATCTGATTATTCTCCTAATTAGATAGACATCACTGAAAATGGTGGATGTTTGAGAAACACAGTCTATCTGGAATCACAGCTCAGCTTACATTCATTTTATTGCACATTAATTAATTGACTGTATATTGCTATACCTTCTGTCTTCATTGACAGAAAATGTAGTCTAGTGTGTAGGCTGCGTTGTACCATACTAAATAACACTATGTTTGACAGGGACTACTGTATTGTGCTCTGTCAACTTCTGTTTTTCATATACAGTAATTGCTATAAAAACTGTTTATGTGCCTCATAGGACAAATTCCTGTAAGTATTTGGTCATTAGCTGTGTAGAATTGTGAGAAATCTTCAGTCATCTTTCTCTCCTAAACCATGGGAAAAGCAGACAGGAGGCGGTCTGGGTTGGGTTGTTTTTGTGATTCTATATGCATGAATTGTTGACAAAATAGGGAACCCTGGGAAATTACATATTCATTGAACAGATATGTTCAAGCAATCTGGTCCTCTGTAGCTCAGCTGGTAGAGCACGGCGCTTGTAACGCCAAGGTAGTGGGTTCGAACCCCGGGACCACCCATACACAAAAAAAAATATTATGCACGCATGACTGTAAGTCGCTTTGGATAAAAGCGTCTGCTAAATGGTATATTATTATCTATTCAAGGTGACTCAGTCACAAACACAAATGTTCTCCTCCCTCTTGCAAGAAGACCCCAGAGAAGTCTCTCAGATTTCTGTCTCTCTCGCTCTCTCTCTCTCGCTCTCTCCCCCTCTACTTGTGATGCTCATCAGTTGGCTGGCTGGGAGAGGAACAATGGAGTCGTTTTACGGGGAGAGAGGTCATCCTGTGTCAGGGCATGAAATATTGGCAGCCACACAAACCGAGGCATTGACTGTGTAAAAAACTGAACTGTGGGAAGAGAAGATGTACCATGTTAAACGTAACAGAAATAAGTAGGCAGGTCTAGGCCAGAGGAAGCCCTCTAACCACATTCATTCTTCTCACACGAGAATCAGACTTCATTACTCTGACGCTGTGTGTATGTATATGTGTATGTTCCTTATCTCACTGGCAGAAACCGTAAAGAACATTGTAATTATATTTATTCTCACTCTATGCCATGTAGAATAAAAATAACTATTTAACACTTATCAACAAATAGTTTATATAAAGTAATTCAAACACATTTTACATTGGCCCTCTTTTTCACGTTGTCGGTGGTGACAGTGTAGAACGGCCAATCCAAATGTCTATCTCCAGTTTACAGCCTAGCCTATTGGATGAATCTGTGTACAGGCTTTCTGTGAAAACGTTTAACTGAGGAAATGCAGTCACCAGAATTCAACTCAATTCAAAGGGCTTTATTGGCATGATTTGCACACATGCTTTGCAAAAGTAGCAATTTGTGGACAGCATATTTTCACCACTCTCCATCTCTCTCCAACCAGTCATCTGCTTCACTCCATATCTCTCAACCACACCAGCCCACTTTATCGCTCTCATTGCGAGACATCTTCAAAAAAGATCCTTAAAAAGATGGGAATGTGAACTTCCTATTTACTGAAAATGTGTTGTCTGCCTCTGTGTGAGGACATGTAGGGACATACACTATATATACAAAAGTGTGTGGACACCCCTTCAAATTAGTGGATTCTGCTATTTCAGCCACACCTGTTGCTGACAGGTGTATAAAATCAAACTCAGTGACTTTCAACGTGGCACCGTCATAGGATGCCACCTTTCCAACAAGTCAGTTTGTCAAATTTCTGCCCTGCTAGAGCTGCCCCAGTCAACTGTAAGTGCTGTTATTGTGAAGTTGAAACGTCTAGAAGCAACAATGGCTCAGCCCACAAAGTGGTAGGTCACACAAGCTCACAGAACGGGACCGCCGAATGCTGAAGCGCGTAGCACGTAAAAATCGTCTGTCCTTGGTTGCAACACTCACTACCGAGTTCTAAACTGCCTCTGGAAGCAACGTCAGCACAATAATCGTTTGTCGGGAGCTTCATGAAATGGGTTTTCATGGCCGAGCAGCCGCACACAAGCCTAAGATCACCATGCGCAACGCCAAGCATCGGCTGGAGTGGTGTAAAGCTTGCCGCCATTGGACTCTGGAGCAGTGGAAACGCGTTCTCTGGAGTGATGAATCATGCTTCACCATCTGGCAGTCTGATGGACGAATCTGGGTTTGGCGGATGCCAGGAGAACACTACCTGCCCCAATGCATAGTGCCAACTGTAACGTTTGGTGGAGGAGGAATAATGGTCTGGGACTATTTTTCATGGTTCGGGCTAGGCCCCTTAGTTCCAGTGAAGGGAAATCTTAACGCTACAGCATACAATGACATTCTAGAGGATTTTGTGCTTCCAACATTTTAGCAAAAGTTTGGGGAAGGCCCTTTCCTGTTTCAGCATGACAATGCCCCCGTGCACACGCTAGTGGGTTAAAATTTTTTTGATCGAACCCACTACCCTTGCGTTATAAGCGCCATGCTCTACCAATTGAGCTACAGAGGACCACCAGTTGAGTTTGCACCAGTTCACCAATTGAGCTACAGAGTAGAGTGCTTGGAAACTGCAAGATATGAACAAGTGTTAAGTTCAAATCAAATTGTATTTGTCACATGCGCCGAATACAACAGGTGTATAAATGCTTACTTATAAGCCCTTTTTTTTCACCTTTATTTAACCAGGTAAGCCAGTTGAGAAAAAGTTCTCATTTACAACTGCGACCTGGCCAATATAAAGCAAAGCAGTGCGGAAAAAACAACAACAACATAGAGTTACATATGGAATAAACAAAACGTACAGTCAATAACACAATAGAAAATCTATATACAGTGTGTGCAACTGTAGTAAGTTATGGATGTAAGGCAATAAATAGGCCATAGTGCAAAATAATTACAATTATAATTTAGTATTAACACTGGAGTGATAGATGTGCAGAAGATGATGTGCAAATATAGATACTGTGGTGCAAATGAGCAAAATAAATAACTATGTAAATAGCAATATGGGGATGAGGTAGTTGGGTGGGCTAATTACAGATGGGCTGTGTACAGGTGCAGTGATTGGTAAGCTGCTCTGACAACTGATGCTTAAAGATAGTGAGGGAGATATGTGTCTCCAGCTTCAGAGATGTTTCAGTTTGTTCCAGTCATTTGCAGCAGAGACCTGGAAGGAATGGCAAACAAATGAGGTGTTGGCTTTGGGGATGACCAGTGAGATATACCTGCTGGAATGCATACTACGGGTGGGTGTTGCTATGGTGACCAATGACCTAAAATAAGGCGGGGATTTGCCTAGAAGGGATTTATAGATGACCTGGAGCCAGTGGGTTTGGCGACGAATATGTAGTGAGGGCCAGCCAACGAGAGCGTACAGGTCACAATGGTGGGTAGTATATGGGGCTTTGCTGACAATGCAGAGTTTAAAAAAAAAATTTTAGCAAATAAAATTAAATCTCCTATTTTCCAGGCTGGACAACAGACCTGACACTTTAGGTGTCGTCATAATCTGACCACGATTGATTTAGTTTTTCGATGCTCTCTGTCTGTCATGGGTTATTTTCAGATTATCCACCCTTCTCTCAAAGTGTGCACTTGCCTACAAAGAGCATAACCACAGCAACAACAAAAAAAGACCTAGAAGCCATACAGATAACATTCTCACCATATTCATAACATCTGTAAAGGAAAAAATACTCTCGTTGAAGCTGAAAGGGGGCGGGGAGGGGATTCCAACCCAAGGTTGCAGATTGGGTATGTCCGTGCAGTCACGCCCATAGGTGGAGTCTTCCACGATTTTGAGGCACGGTTGAAATACTCACACTTGTAGCCGTTTCGTTCTTTAATTTGAGCTCAGCAGCCGCGAGGTTCGTTGTTTAAAGCTGGGAAACTGTTGTTGCTTTCCAACGTAAGGAAAGGGATCAACACGAATTTCAAAATCTGGCAACATCCACCTTTCTCTAGGCTGGATTTTAAACCGTGAAACTTCGAAGTTTTTCTTTTAGATTTTATTTTTGTTTAGAAAACCTAAAATATGGGAGCTCAGTTGTCCAAGGGTGGAGTAGCTGTTGAGGCGAAAGCCGACGCCGAGCCGGCTGTCGCTAAAACAAATGGCCAGGTAAGAGAGATGTCCAGTTGCATGCTTCCACATTAGGTACCCAACGCCCTGGTCCAGCGTGAGTTGCATGGGCAACGTGTTAACGTTACCAGACTAGCGAGACCTCACGCCTACCAGTGGACATTATATTTACTTACTAATTAGCTAAATCATATTTGGATGAAAACCTCCTGTTTCGATTGCAAAGAGAAAGATGGCATTTTGTAATTAACTGGTTTAAAAATGTGTGCATGGTTGGGTGGCTAATCGATGGGTGCCATGCCACAGTCAACACCACCCTTTGTTTAATTCGTCTCGAACTTTTTGCCATAATCAAGTAGTTTAACACCAGGGCTGATCAAAATGGTCACATGGTTATCACCTGGATGGAAATATCAGTTTTAATTTAACTCGTTTTCTCTCATGAGTTGGCGCTAGAATTTGGCAGCGATCGCCCACTCGCGGAACAACAGATGCAGAGGATGCAAATGGACTTTGCTCGAGGCTGAGGCTTGAAAGCAAAGCGCACGGGCGCCAACAAAGCGTTGTCTATTGAAAAAAAGCGAGCAATCGGACTATTTTGTGCCATTTTCGATGTAATCCTTCATTTGTAGAGATGGACACATTAAATTGTAAAGTCAAACCTTGTTTTATTACACATGCCGCCCGCATGCCCGTTATCTGGATGATGACTTGCTATTCTACTGTAGCTGATGGTTGTAAAATGGGTGCGATTGCCAGTCTACCATCTCATTGAGGCGGCACGCCTACCAGTTGGTGCATTCTCTAGCTAGCAGAGATGGTTAACTTTCCTTGACCAAAATATTGTAGGATATTCAATTATTATAGTTAAGTTTGATATCACAAATTGAAATAACATCAATGTTAGCTAGTTTGGTTTGTTCGAATGGCAAGAAATTTAGAAATGCACTATATTGCCATTTTGCAACTAATAGCACAACTAATCTGTTTCTTGATTTGATCGGATTCCTTTGTTCCAAAATACTGCTTGCTGTTGTGGCGGAGCGCGAATGCCACCACGTGGTCGATGGGAGTAATGCAAACTAGCTGTGCATATTAAGCGTTTTGCTGTGCATTTCACCTGGTCAAGTAATTGTCCACAATGACAAAACCTCTATGATACGTTGGTTGGCCATACAGCAGCACACTCAGCTTTTTTTTGAGAGAATTAAAGTAGTCTGTCTTTATATCCCATGAGCCATGTCCTTGGTCCACATTGGCCTGTAGATTGATGAATCAATTGGATATAGGTATGGGCGGCTTATAATAGTTAATGTAACTTTCTCCCCAATACCAGTTTATTTGGAGAATGTAAATATTGTTCTCCACATATTTGTAAATGGTTTCTCACTGTTGTCCACAGGAGAACGGCCATGTTAAAACCAATGGAGATGTCTCTGCCAAGCCCGATGGGGATGCTGCCGCCGTAGACGGGAATGGCCCAGCCGAGCCAGCCAAAGAGGGTGAGATTGGTGCTGGCGACGCCATCGAGGCTGCCCCTGCTGCTGAAGGAGATGCGGTCAAGGCCGAAGGGGAGGCCGCCAAGGATGCCAAGAAAAAGAAGAAATTCTCCCTGAAGAACTCCTTCAAGTTCAAGGGTATCTCGCTGAAGAAGACCAAGAAGAACAGTGAGGAGGGCAAGGAGGCTGCCGCCTCCCCCACGGCGGAGGACAAGCCAGAAGAGAATGGCCACGCAGCCAAGGAGACCAAAGAGGAGACGCTGGCCGCCGAGGCTGTGGCAGAGGCCAAGGAGGAGGCCACTCCAGCCCCAGAAAGTGAGGCCGCAGCAGAGGAGGCCCCTCCCTCTGAGGCCACCACCGCAGAGGTCACGACACCCGCAGCATCCGAGGCCGAGCCCAAGGCAGAGTGACCGCGCCCACCACGGCTACTTGAACGTTTCCCCCCAGATTAAAGTATATATATATATATATGACTCGTGCCACGTTCTTAACTTTATAAACAAAACTACAAACGAAGACAAATGAAGAAGGATATATCACGTTTGCTCATTCAGCCACCAGTTCACTGCCTTTATCATTTCTCTACTGATGGAATCTCACCGGCCCTCTCATGATGAAACTGTTGGCTTACGGTGCCCCCTCATGGTACTTACTGGAACTGGTGTGTGGGGGAAGGTATTGGATGTAGAACGAATCTGGAATACTGACTTATTTTCCCAATTCATGGAGACATCCTTTTAACAGCGTGGCAGCCCTATAACATTTTAATTTTTAATATCTTGGGATCTAATAATCGACAACGGTTATGGAGCAGTGCAGACCATCTCCATCACTCAAAAATGACTGTTATATGGACAAACCTTTCAAATGGTCATATTAACTTCTAGAATTCTACATTCCTATGTTTTACCCCCAAATTTCAAGTATTTTGTGCTGTATAGAAAAACTAAATTAAAGCAGGGGAGGTGGAAAAGGCGATGTCTTTGTTTGTGCATTTTGATTATTTTCTGGCTAAAACCACATTTGAGCTTTCTGAGTCTTGCAGTGTTCACATTTCAGAGTTTATGATGCAGGGGTTGTGGGGTCGTACAAAAATCTGCTTTTTATATGCAATTTGTCTCTGTAAATATTTTTGGTTATTTTATTTTGCTATCGTTTAAAGATGTTAATGGTTTTATTGTAACTTTTAATAAGGGTAAATAAATGTTTGATCCCCTCTGATTGTGTTTTGCCTCTGTCATCCTAAACCATGTGGCTGTGGGAGACCTATGGTCTTTTTTGGGGTGGTGGTGGGTTACAGGTTAATCTATCGGGCTGTTTTTATACCCGCACAGCTCTTGAAAATGGATGTATGCACCACGTTAATTGCCTCCAAGACCTTTCGATCAGTACATCTTCACAGAACTCCAGGAAGATGCTTGAGGTAAATAACTTTATAAACTGACAAATCAATGACTGACAAGGTACCATGCTTATAAGTTGAGCCATGGTATGTCAGTCATATCACGCTTGCCTACAAAGGTGTTCTCTTCTCACATCTCAAACTACACTATAACTTTACAGTTTGAAAATATGTATATTATATATATATATTTTTTACATTTAGCAGACACTCTTATCCAGAGCGACTTACAGGAGCAATTAGGGTTAAGTGCCTTGCTCAAGGGCACATCGACAGATTTTTCACCTAGTCGGCTCGGGGATTAGAACCAGCGACCTTTCGGTTACTGGCACAACGCTCTTAACCACTAAGCTACCTGCCGCCCCATGTATTACTTGACAAAACAAGCTGTATGTCAAGGAAAGTTTGGCAAAAGTTTGTAGAAGACCAACTGATTGGCACCAATCAATCATCAATTTGTGTACTTTTTACAAATCCATGTCAAAAAACTTAACTGAGATTGGAGCTTAAACCTCCAAAGAGCAACGGTGGCAACTGGTAAGGAAGAAACTTATACTGTAGACGGGTGATTTGTCTGTACAAGGTGGCCTTGGTTGGAAATTAGGTTGTGGGAATTGCGTTTAAGACCGTGATCTGGGGTGTATTTATTGTACAAGTTCAGTTAGGCCCCTCCCAGTTTTGTCCCATTTAGTTCCATAGTGAATAGATGACTGATACCCGGTTCTGGTGACATCTCTCAGAGCATTGCACACCTTAACCAGAGGGATTGGGTTAAAAGTGAAAGACACTTTGGTTGAATGCATTCATTTGTGCAACTGACTAGGTATCCCTTTCCCATCACCCTAGACTTGAGGTCAAAATGCTGATTTGAAGTAAGCAGACACACATGACAGTGGGCCCTATCCAGAAACAATTGTAGAGCACCTAGGCACACTTCTGTACATTGTGAATGGATGGGTATAACAACATGGTAGAAGCGCCACCTTGTCATCTCATAGGCTTGGTGGAATTTTTTACCATACTGCTTAAAACTATCCAAGTATAATCCTCAAAAGTGAATGCATACAAAGAAATTGCATTTTTCCCCCCAACGATTCGGTGTCCTGTTTGTGGTGTGGTGACACAAAGTCACAGTGGGATAAAGGCAGTGTTGGGGAAGCTACTCTGGAAATATTGTTTACCAAGCTACCAATTACTTCACACTAGAAGTTAAGCTACACTAAAGCTAGCCTTAAGAAAAAGTAAGTTAATTTAACTAAATGTACTTTGAAAAAGTAGTTCACTACTTGGTGGAAAATTATGTAAATCTGAAATGTAATAGATTACAAATTGCAAGAACAAATCACTTTGGGGTCATATGTTAAACAAATTGTTTCAAGTGAGAATTAGGCAGGACGGTGCTGAAAAATAAAGCACATTATTTCCTACTTCACCCATATTTTATTTTAGCAAAAAAAGTAGTGTACACTACTGCCAATGTTTGTCTATGGAGATTGTTAGTTACACCGCTACATGGCAAAAATTAATGAACTACTGAAAACACTACCTAGATTTGATTTTAGTTTCAACTATCACCAAACTAGTGCAAAATGTACACTGAACAAAAATATAAACGCAACATGTTGGTCCCATGTTTCATGAGCTGAAAAAAATATCCCCAACATTTTCCATACGCACAAAAAGCTTATTTCTCTCCAAAAATGTGTTTACATCCCTGTTGGTGAGCATTTCTCCTTAGCCAAGATAATCCATCCACCTGACAGGTGTGGTATATCAAGAAGCTGATTAAACAGCATGATCATTACACAGGTGCACTTTGTGCTGGGGACAATAAAAGGCCACTTTAAAATGTGCAGTTTTGTCACACAACACAATGCCACAGATGTCTCACGTTTTGAGGGAGTGTGCAATTGGCATGCTGACTGCAGGAATGTGCACCAGAGCTGTTGCCAGATAATTTAATGTTCATATGCTGCCTCCAACGTCGATTTAAATAATTTGGCAGTACGTCCAACCAGCCTCACAACCGCAGACCACGTGTAACCACGCCAGTCCAGGACCTCCACATCCGGCTTCTTCACCTGCAGGATCATCTGAGGGGGGTGCTGAGGAGTATTTCTGTCTGTAAGAAAGCCCTTTTGTGGGGGAAAAAATTCTGATTGGCTGGGCCTGGCTGCCAAGTGGGTGGGCCTTTGCCCTCCCAGGCCCAGCCATGGCTGCATCCCTGCCCAGTCATGTGAAATCCCTAATTTAGGCCCTAATGAATTTATTTCAATTGACTGATTTCCTTATATGAACTGTAACTCTGTAAAATCTTTGAAATTGTTGCATGTTGCGTTTATATTTTTGTTCAGTACAGTTACATTTCTCGAATTTACATGTAGTTCACTACTCCCAAACACTGGATGAAGGAGTAATGAATTTATTTCACATACATACACTACATGACCAAAAGTATGTGGACACCAGCTTGTCAAACATCTCATTCCAAAATCATGGCCATTAATATGGAGTTGGTCCCCCCTTTGCTGCTATAACAGCCTGTGCTCTTCTGGGAAGGCTTTCCACTAGATGTTGGAACATTGCTGCGGGGACTTGCTTCATTCAGCCACAAGAGCATTAGTGAGGTCGGGCACTGATGTTGGGTGATTAGGCCTGGTTCACAGTAGGCGTTCCAGTTCCTCCCAAAGGTGTTTCTTGGGGTTGAGGTCAGGGCTCTGTGCAGGCTAGTCAAGTTCTGTATGGAACTCGCTTTGTGAACAGGGGCATTGTCATGCTGAAACAGGAAAGGGCCTTCCCTAAACTGTTGCCACAAAATTGGAAGCGCAGAATCGTCTAGAATGTAATTGTATGCTGCAGTGTTAAGATTTCCCTTCACTGGAACTATGGGGCCTAGCCCGAACTATGAAAAACAGCCTCACACCATTATTCCTCCTCCACCAAAGTTTACAGTTGGCACTATGCGTTCGGGCAGGCAGCGTTTTCCTGGCATCCGCCAAACCCAGATTAGTACGTCAGACTGACAGATGGTGAAGTGTGATTCATCACTCTAGAGCACGCGTTTCCAGTGCTCCAGAGTTCAATGGCGGTGAGCTTTACACCACTCCAGCCAATGCTTGGCATTGCACATGGTGATTTTAGGCTTGTGTGTGGCTGCTCGGCCATGGAAACCTATTTCATGAAGCTCCTGAGGAACAGTTCTTGTGCTGAAGTTGCTTCCAGTTTGGAACTCGGTTGTGAGGGTTGCAACCGACGACAGATGATTATTACGCACTACGCTTCAGTACTCAGCAGTCCCGTTCTGTGAGCTTGTGTGGCCTACCATTCACGGCTGAGCCTAGAGGTTTTCACTTCACAATAACAGCACTTCTCCTGATTCCTGCTTATAAGCAAAAACTAAAGCAGGAAGCACCAGTGACTCGGTTAATAAAAAAGTGGTCAGATGACGCAGATGCTAAGCTACAGGACTGTTTTGCTAGCACAGACTGGAACATGTTCCGAGATTCTTTAGATAGCATTGACGAGTACACCACATCAGTCACTGGCTTCATCAACAAGTGCATCGATGATGTCGTCCCCACAGTGACCGTACGTACATACCCCAACCAGAAGCCATGGATTACAGGCAACATCCGCACTTAGCTAAAGGGTAGAGCTGCCGCTTTCAAGGAGCGGGACAAAGGGAAGCACAGCCGCGAGCTTCCCAGTGACACAAGCCTACCAGACGAGCTAAACCACTTCTATGCTCGCTTCGAGGCAAGCAACACTGAAGCATGCATGAGAGCACCAGCTGTTCCGGATGACTATGTGATCACGCTCTCCATAGCCGATGTGAATAAGACTTTTAAGCAGGTCAACATTCAGAAGGCCGCAGGACCAGACGGATTACCAGGACGTGTACTCCGAGCATGTGCTGACCAACTGGCAAGTGTCTTCACTGACATTTTCAACATGTCCCTGACTGAGTCTGTAATACCAACATGTTTCAAGCAGACCACCATAGTCCCCGTGCCCAAGGACACTAAGATAACCTGCCTAAATGACTACCGACCCGTAGCACTGACGTCTGTAGCCATGAAGTGCTTTGAAAGGCTGGTCATGGCTCACATCAACACCATTATCCCAGAAACCTTAGACCCACTCCAATTTGCATACCGCCCCAACAGATCCACAGATGATGCAATCTCTATTGCACTCCACACTGCCCTTTCCCACCTGGACAAGAGGAACATCTACGCGAGAATGCTATTCATTGACTACAGCTCAGCATTCAACACCATAGTGCCCTCAAAGCTCATCACTAAGCTAAGGATCCTGGGACTAAACACCTCCCTCTGCAACTGGATCCTGGACTTCCTGATGGGCCGCCCCCAGATGGTAAGGGTAGGTAACAACACATCTGCCACACTGATCCTCAACACGGGGGCCCCTCAGGGGTGCGTGCTCAGTCCCCTCCTGTACTCCCTGTTCACCCATGACTGCATGGCCAGGCACGACTCCAACATCATCATTACGTTTGCCGACGACACAACAGTGGTAGGTCTGATCACCGACAACGATGAGACAGCCTATAGGGAGGAGGTCAGAGACCTGGCCGTGTGGTGCCAGGATAACAACCTCTCCCTCAACGTGTCCAAGACAAAGGAGATGATTGTGGACTACAGGGGAAAAAAAGAGGACTGAGCACGCCCCCATTCTCATCGACGGGGCTGTAGTGGAACAGGTTGAGAGCTTCAATTTACTTGGTGTCCACATCACCAACGAACTATCATGGTCCAAACACACCAAGACAGTCGTGAAGAGGGCACGACAAAGCCTATTCCCCCTCAGGAGACTG